CACTTATTAAGCCATTATTCACTTGGCTGACAAAAATTCCAATTTGGCGCTATTGAACTGAAATTTTCAGAACTTTTAGAATCACTTCCCTGCTAAAGATGGTCAAAATTGCATCCGGCTACTTAATCAGGGTTAAAAGTTGCAAATTTTCAAATCAGGGAGGGTAAATGTATGAAGACACTTATTACGCCATTATTCACTTGGCTGGCAAAAATCCCAATTTGGCGCTATTGAAATGAAATTTGCAGAACTTTCAGAATCACTTCCCTGCTAAAGATGGTCAGAATTGCAACCGGCTACTTGATCAGGGTTAAAAGTTGCAAATTTTAAAATCAGGGAGAGTAAATGTATGAAGACACTTATTTTTAAGCCCTTAGTCACTTGGYTGGCAAAAATCCCAATTTGGCGCTATTGAACTGAAATTTTCAGAACTTTCAGAATCRCAACCCTRCCAAAGGTGATTAAAATTTCAAGTTGCTACTTGATCTGGCGTGAAAGTTGCCGTTTYATAAAAGAGGGCTGGTAAATCTATGAAGAGTCATTTTTCGACTCAACTCAACATTGACTTGGTCGAAAAAAATTCGAATTTTGTACGATTTGTCTGAAACTTTCAACACTTCCAGGCACAGATGTTCTCTAGAAATGGGGAAATTTTCAAGTTGCTCCTTAATGGCTGTTGAAGTTGAAAATGATCAGTTTTTAAACAAAGGCTGTTAATTCTGTTGAAACTTTCATTTGTAGGCCAGCATTGAATGCTTGCAAAAAATCGGCATTTGGGGCCATTCAACTGAAACCTCCTGCACTGTCAGACTCAAATCTCTTCTATCGATGGTGACAATTTCAAGTTCTTACTCCAGCTGGATAGGAAATTGTACCGTTTTAAAGCAAGCAAGGCAATTGGTGGCATAAACCGGTTATTTTTCAAGCCAAATCAAAGTCGCCGAAATAGATAATTTGGGATATGCCGACGACACAGTCCTCTTAGCAGAAACTTTAGACCATCCAGAAAACCTACTGAACAGCGCTCTGAAGGGTGACGCCGGTTTAGTCTGAGTGTAAAAAATGAAAATTACGACATGAAGAAACTGGACAGTTGACAGAGTTGAGAGAAGACAGAGAAGGTTTTCTAATGATAAAGAAGATCAAACGGCACGAGAGAAAACACGAGCGGGACGAAAAAGGACACTTCTTGATCAGTGCGGGATCCATTCAAAGATTGATTCAAACCGGCGGCTTTGAGCATACAAAGAACGTTCTTCTGGCCCAATCCAGGCCCAGTTCGAAGCATTAAAAATTGAAGCCTTGCCGGTCGTTACAGTCGCCATCCGAAACCGACACGCTTCATCTCGAACCGGGCTAAATTTCATGAATTCCTGAACGAGGTCAGTCAAAGTGAGAAATATCCAGTCTGGATCGCCGCTCGTTCGCTCACTCCCATCTCATGGATATTCCATTAACATACATTTTTCCGGAGGATTCACTACCGCCAACTCAACGCTAGAGAAAACTCCAGCTTGATTATTAATCAGTCTGCATGATCCATGAGCATGCAACATTTATATATTTATTTGGGCTTTTCTTGCTTGTTCCTCTTCATCCAGGTGTGGGTTTATTTGCGCCACTTTGGTTGGGTTTTTTTCATGTGCCCTTCCAAATTCCTCTGGTATATTTTGCTTGATGAGACACCATTGAGCCAAATTGATACCAATTCTTCTGAATCTTCTTTGCAGTCCTCTCTACTTCTAACTCTTCCACTTAATTGCGTATTTGAGCTAATCGAGCAAGAATCACTCCGTCTTCTGCCTCCATCCTTCCATTCATTAAATCTACCACAACAGCGACAAAAACTATTTAATGAAGAGGGCGGCACCGAAGCAATCAAATGTTTGTTAATTAGGGAACTGTTTAGCTGGGAACAATAAAGCGTTCTAGTTGGAAGTTGAGCTATTTAAATTTCGAACTCCCGACTCTGAGCCAGTGACAGTGACGAATGGCAGTCTCAAATAACAAACAGATGTAATATGAAAATCCTAAGCGGAGAATAATGCCGGGGGCGATTCCATCTAACCGACTTTTCCAGTTCAATTTATGGATATGGGTTTTCAGACTATCAGCAAAAAGCTCAAAAATCCAGGTGGAAGAATATGCGTAAAACTCCGCGAAAACTTGCAAAGACAAAGTCGTTTTTCATGTACAAAGTTGTAAAATCTGGGGCAATGGAAGCAAACCCTGATATCCAGAGTTTCCAGAGCCCGGTAGAAAATTGCTGGTAAAGTGAGCATGATTATGCGGTATCGTGTTCAGGCAAAGATTTGTGCGAATTTGAAGAACCTTATTTTACCTTTGGATCGATAAAAGCCCGTTCCGTGATTTTATAGAAATTTTATTCGGTTTACAATGCCATCGAGCTTTTCCCGACGAAAATAGCTCGGCTATTTTTCAAAATGAGATTGCAGAGTATATAGAAGATCGCTGTTCGATTTACACTATTCCTACAGTGGAGTCTGTTTGTCATTGGGACTTGTTTGGTGAATAATTGTTGAAAGGTTCAGGAGAGTGTAGAAGAGAAGAAGCTGGAATGAAAAAAATGGGAAAAACACATTAGGGCGACCATGAGTAACATTTCGATTTGGGACGCGATTAGACCGAAAATTTCAGGATATTGAGCTGCAAATGTCTTCAGCAGCTGGTCAAAATTTAGAGTTTCTGGTTAATCGGGGGTGGCAGTGGGAATTTTTTCAAAAAGGCCGTGTAATTGTGCGAAATCATCCATTTTTAGGTCAGCAGCAGCAGGTTGGTAGAAATCAGGTTGTGATGGCTTTTGAATAAAACTTTCAGAACGTTCAGCTTCACATGTCGTCTATTGATGTGAAAAATTTCACGCTGCCACTTGGTTTGGGTTGAACGTTGCGAGTTTTTAAAAGAAACTCCATACATTTTTATGGAGACCCGCATTTTTAGGCCCACATTGACTTACTTGGTAAATCTCAGAATTCCGTGCGATTTTTGTGAAACTTTCAAAACATTTAGATTTAAGTGTCTGCTGTTGGTGGTCAAGATTTCAGCTTGTTACTTGATGCGTGGTGGAAGTTGTGAATTTTTAGAAAGGAGCGGGTAAATGTGTCAAGCCACTTATATTCAGAGAAACATTGACTTGGCTGAAAAAACGTCAGGGTTCAACGGAATTTGACTAAAATATTGCAGATTTTCAGATTTGAATGTCTGCTGTAGATGGTATCACTTGCAAGTTGCTGCCTAATTTGGGTTGAAACTTGCGACTTTTTAAAAAGATCGGGTACATTTATGAAGGCATGCATTTTCAGCCCAACATTGACTTCGTTGGCAAAAATCAGGATTTTGTGCGATTTCAGCGAAATTTTCACGAGTTTTAGCTTCAATTAGCTCCTTTAGTTGGTCCAGATTTCAAGTTGCTACTTGATTCGTGTTCAAAGTTGCGAATTTTTTAAACAGAGCTCGTTAATATATGAAAACCCTCATTGTCACACCAACATTTCCTTAGCTGAAAAAAATCAGGATTTTGTGCGATTTGAGTTACAGTTTCAAAAACTTTCGTCTTCTATTGATGGGGTAAATTTAAGGAAGCTACAACGTTTGGATTGGAAATTGCACATTTTACGGAACGCGTATTGCGGTAGCAAAACATAATTTTTTAGCTCCCCATTGACTTGGCTGGCAAAAAAAACAGATTTTATTCCATGCACCTGAAACTTTCACAACTTCCACAAGCAAATGTGTTCTATAGATGGTGAAAATTGCCAGTTGTTGCCTGATTTGGGTTGAAAGTTGCGAATTTTTTTAAAACAGCGGGCGAATCTTGCAAGACAGTCAATGTCAGGCTAACATTGACTGGGCTGGCAAAAATCAGCGGTTTGTGCCATTTGACTGAAACTTGCAGAACTTGCAGACTGGAATGTCTTCTATGAATGTTCAACTTTTCAAGCTGCTGCTTGATTCGGGTTGAAACTTGCGAATTTTAAAAAAGAGCTGGCATGTTTTTTAAGATACCCATTTTTCAAGACACTCCTACCCCAAACTCAAACTTGATGATGGTGCCTTGAAAACGAAACGTCGATGCAAAAAACCGTCCTCTCATTTAGCCTCATTTGTCTCCTTTATATACCAGACCGAACTTGCACACTGATGCAAAAAATCCATCAACCCAGCTGAAAAGTACCTCAAACCGAAAATTACCTCAGCCGCAGATTTTTTCGTATAGAAACTGCGAAAATCAAATCCTCGTAGCCTCTTATCACTCAAAACGCAGCAGAGAAAAAGCGAACGAAAGTTGGAAACTTTCACCGGTGCCGAAATCCACCTCGCTCTCATTCGATAAGTGAAAAACTTTGGAACCGGGCCGGGAAGAAAAGTGGCCCCCACTTGATTGTGTTTTCACTTGTTCCGGCCCTCAAAAATGAAATTAAAAACTTCCTAAGTTGATCAATAAGACCTTCTGGCCCGGCCGATGCCAAACAATTTCGGACTTTGCCAGTAAACATTCGCCAAAAAAGTTCGAAATCCCATTATTTCCGTGCGAAAATATGTTCTCGGTGTCAGAGTTTGCTATGTCTGTAAACTGAAAGCAGCAAAAATTTACAGCGCGCAACCAAAGAGGCAATTTTTTTTATGTCCGTGTTTGGTGCAATTTGAACGCGACACGCAAGGCACAGTTTTGCAAGTTTCTCGCTTCAAAGTGATCGCAGGCGAGTTCTGATTGCAGATTCGGCTTTTCAGGACAATTTCCGCATAAAATGAGCCCCATGTCGATGGGTGACTTTCCGAAAAAAAATTGCTTCTCTAGAAAAAAAATAGTTTTTTTGTCAAAATCACCCATCGACATGGGGCTCATTTTCAGCTAAAATCGCCCCGAAAGGCCGAATATGAAATCAGAACTGAAATCATCCGATTGATTTTCGAGAAAATTGGATTTTACCAAAGAAATTTGTTCCTGCCCCTTCTAGGGACGCACATCTGACCAAGAAGGGTCTGTAAACATCCGCAAATATGCCGATTTTTGCGCGACACCCTGTATAGATGGAAGACACAAAATCCGCGCAAAAGATCCACTCGGCTGAAAAATCGAGCCCCAAAAACAGTTATGTTCAATTATCGAAACGATCAAGCTTTAATTATACAGACTTCATTTAGCCGTCAAAACATATTGTTTAATTAACTCTACTAATACGGTGGTGTGATTTATGTGCTTGCGCAAACCGGCGAAAATTGTATTAATGCGCCGGTAGGTATGTGATAGATTTAGCATTAAACCGGCGCACGAGCGTTTTTCTGCAAATAGGATTAATTGTTCGATGGCATTGTTTTGCATAATTGACGGTGGAAAATCTGGTTTGATTAGAACATTGGCCGTTGTCCAGCCTTTCGTCGGCCACTTGGACAGAAAACTGGTTAGTTATCCGGTCGCAATCATCACTGAAATGCATCGGAACAGTCCGCACTAAAAGCCTTTTGCATATATTAATACGGCCAGATAATCGATGGACAATTGTAAATTATTAACAATATCGGTCAATTTGCCCTGGCCATCGTCCGGCTACGTCCTGCCTGTTTGTTTATCATTTGGGTAATTGGAAAATACATAAATAATTTATTTCGGCTGCGTGTTCCGATAAAGAATACGTGGAAAATTGCAATTCATTTGCATCCCAAAATATTATTCGACCCTTAATTTTGTTCGCCTTTTGCAGCGTCAGAACGGACAAGAATGGCGGCGCTTGGTGTCCTCAGAAGCAGGCCACCACCGAACCTGAGGACTGGATCCAGATCGACCTGAAGACGGTTCACATGATCACAGCGACCGAAACGCAGGGCCGATTTGGCAATGGGCAGGGAATCGAGTATGCGGAAGCCTACATGATTGAGTACTGGCGACCTCGTCTGCAGAAATGGATCCGGTATCATAATGCCAAAGGAGAGGAGGTAAGAAACCTTTGAGCAAGAAAAAGAGAAAGTTTTTGAATCTGCTCTTAGTATTTGGCTCCTATTTAGAGAACGGRTTGAGCAGCAAAGCTCTAATTGCCATTACGCGAKARAGCCGTTAAATGCGCACTTTTCCATACCAAATATCGTTTCAGGAATGTTTCTAGTTTTCACGCAAAATGCGAACATTCCAGATGACTTTAGATTTWWAAAACCGCTCTTASTCTTTGRCTCATATTTAGARAACCGGTTGATRTRCAAAMCTCTAATTTAYTTTTCGCGATAGAGTCTTTAAATACKCACTTTGCCATACCAAACATTGTTTTAGSAATGTTTYTAGTTTTCATGCAAAATGCCAAAATTCCTAATTACTTTAGATTTTTAAAACCGCTCTTAGTCTTTGGCTCATATTTAGAAAACCGGTTGATGTGCAAACCTCTGATTTACTTTTCGCGATAGAGTATTTAAATACGCACTTTTCCATACCAAACATCGTTTTAGGAATGTTTCTGGTTTTCACGCAAAATGCCAAAATTCCTAATTACTTTAGATTTTTTAAACCGCTCTTAGTCTTTGACTCATATTTAGAGAACCGGTTGATGTGCAAGCCTCTAATTTACTTTTCGCGATAGAGTCTTTAAATGCGCACTTTTTCATACCAAACATTGTTTTAGCAATGTTTCTAGTTTTCACGCAAAATGACAAAATTCCTAATTACTTTAGATTTTTAAAACCGCTCTTAGTCTTTGGCTCATATTTAGAAAACCGGTTGATGTGCAAATCTCTAATCTACTTTTCGCGATAGAGTCTTTAAATACGCACTTTTCCATACCAAACATCGTTTTAGGAATGTTTCTGGTTTTCACGCAAAATGCCAAAATTCCTAATTACTTTAAATTTTTAAAACCGCTCTTAGTCTTTGACTCATATTTAGAGAACCGGTTGATGTGCAAACCTCTAATTTACTTTTCACGATAGAGTCTTTAAATACGCACTTTGCCATCCTAATCATTGTTTTACGAATGTTTCTAGCGTTCATGCAAAAGGCCAAAATTCCTAATTATATTAGATTTTTAAAACAGCTCTTAGTCTTTGGCTCATATTTAGAGAACCGGTTGATGTGCAAACCTCTAATTTACTTTTCGCGATAGAGTCTTTAAATACGCACTTTTTCATACCAAACATAGTTTTAGGAATGTTTCTAGTTTTCACGCAAAATGTCAAAATTCCTAATTACTTTAGATTTTAAAACCGCTTTTAGTCTTTGGCTCATATTTAGAAAACCGGTTGATGTGCAAACCTCTAATTTACTTTTCGCGATAGAGTCATTAAATACGCACTTTTCCATAGCAAACATCGCCTGAGGAATGTTTCTGGTTTTCACGCAAAATGCCAAAATTCCTAATTACTTTAAATTTTTAAAACCGCTCTTAGTCTTTGACTCATATTTAGAGAACCGGTTGATGTGCAAACCTCTAATTTACTTTTCGCGATAGAGTCGTTAAATACGCACTTTTCCATACCAAACATCGTTTTAGGAATGTTTCTAGTTTTCACGCAAAATGCCAAAATTCCTAATTACTTTAGATTTTTAAAACCGCTCTTAGTCTTTGACTCATATTTAGAGAACCGGTTGATGTGCAAACCTCTAATTTACTTTTCGCGGTAGAGTCTTTAAATACGCACTTTTCCATACCAAACATCGTTTTCGGAATGTTTCTGGTTTTCACGCAAAATGTCAAAATTACTAATTACCTTAGATTTTTAAACCCGCTTTTAGTCTTTGGCTCATATTTAGAAAACCGGTTGATGTGCAAACCTCTAATTTACTTTTCGCGATAGAGTCGTTAAATACGCACTTTTCCATAGCAAACCTCGTTTTAGGAATGTTTCTGGTTTTTACGCAAAATGCCAAAACTCCTAATTACTTTAGATTTTTAAAACCCCTTTTACTCGTAGGCTCATATTTGGAGATCCGATAAAGCTCCAGAGCTCCAATTAAAAATTAAAAATGTTCCAAACTTGACGTAAAAGTGCCTAAGGCAAGACCGAAGAAAAATCGAGAGACTTTGGTTTAATGTTGGAGCAAAAAAACCCTTTCGTATGATTCGTGGGCCGGAAAAGCGATCGAGTATCGGTTAGGAAGATCGGCTAAAGAACGAGGGCGATTTAACCGAAACTGAACTGGCGACGTCATTTTTCAATTTCCCAAATTTATACCGGTTTTTAGCCGTGAAAAATCTGGCAATTTAGTCTACTGTACCGGCTTTCACGGTTGGATGAAACCGATTTTAATATAAGAAACTCCTTCAGTCTCGGCGCTTGTTCTGATCCGGATATTCTAAATCCACTGCATGTTTTATCAGAAGGAGTTCGGCGATCAGACTGGCTGGATTTTCGCTTTTTAGGCCGTTGGGGGAGAGAATCTTGCATCTTGTGAGGTATGTTTGAGTTATCCAGTTAGAAGTGATTTTTGAGACGCCACTGGCTCCTAATGCATAAGGAGCTTTAGTCCGACGCATGGAAAAGCGTTTGGAGTTGCACTTATCAACTCCCCATTTCGTTTCAGGGGGGAATGGAAGCTCCTAATTTCGCGCGGTCACGCAACGTCCTGTCGTCGATGTGGCGCCTCCGTCTTTTTTGGACGTCGCGACGCGGATTTCCATTTTCCTAATACCCACTCTTCACCATTCAATAAAGTCGAAACTACCAACAAATTCCCACTCGATTCGAACAGTCTCAACTGCGTGAATTTTTCGGGGCTTTCGAAAAAACAAATAAAATCGCTCCCATCGGAAATAACCTGGATATTAAATATTTGGCCGGCCCGGGCTCTGGATGAATTTCAATTTCGTTTCGGCATTACAATACTAGGAATTATTCAGCAAAATAAATAGCTGAAAATCAGAGGGCCGGAAGTGATATTTAAGCTCGTTTTATGCGCCGCCATTTCCATGCAATATGTCTGGGTCGTTCGAAAAAGCCGCCATAAAACCGGAGTTATCGACTAAGCCCATCGCAATTTGTAACCTTTAAGGGCAGTTCAAGCAGCACCCTTTGGGCGCTCAATTGATTTTTTTTGAACAATCTCTACAACTGGAAGAAGCGGCTTGTTACTTCCCATCCCTCTATCAGTCGGTTAAGACAACGGAAAGCTTCGGTCGAGGGCCGTTCCAATGCCAACAGTTTGCCCAATTAAGAACGATCTTATATCCGAAAAGGAAAAATTAGAGGTCGCTTTCAAAAAAACCATTTTGTCCCATAAAAACGTCGCCGTTTGGCGCACGAGCCATTAGGCAAACATGCCAGAAGGGAAGAACCTGAAGGTTGTAATGGAGAACGAAACGGTTCATTATTTTTTATGGGCAGGCGAGACGTGCGGCAGCACAAGCACGTAGTTGGGCCCAATTAATTTCCCCAAAAAACCCAACCTCTGCCCTCCACCCACCGGCGATTTCCCAACAAACAACAGCATGGGAATTCGTCGTTTCTTCAGGGACAAATTTCCATTCTTTCGAACGGATTCGTTGCGAAAAAACGGCCCTCGAACGATTTCCGATTGTGCCCGTTTCATTTGTATCCAGGTTAACAATAAACAGAAGCAGGCTCGTTCGTTCGTTCCTTCGTTCGTTGTAGACTAATAAAATTTCCCGGCGTGTTTCACCTGGAAATGAAAACGAAAGAAAAGCGACGGCCTAGAGCGGAGGGTTAACTTTGCCCCATCGTTCATTATTGCCTCGGTCACGCTACCATCTAAGTGTGCGGCATCGATTTTTCCTTCATTAAAAACGGCCACCGCGCCTTTTAACAGTGAAATCCAGATCTGGGCCCCTTTTGTGCCTACACGCTATCACTTTCGCTTTGGGGCGACTTTTTTTCGGCTTCACAGAACGAGAAAATCAAACACTTTGGCTTCAGAATCTTTGCTCGATTTTTGTGCTTGTGTGCCCCCGGTTCAGTCTTGCTAACAGAGAGCTTCTGATCAAATGTGTAGCTTTTCCAGAGCTTGAAAATTTGGCAATTTTTCAACTCTGTTACAAGTGCGCTTAAATGGTGCTTTGGGTTCAGTCAGTAATTTTCAAGTTGCTACTTGGTCCCAATTGAAGGTTGTGCGTAAATGTACATTTTTAGGTCAGCATTCACTTGGCACGCAAAAAGCCGATCTTAGCGCGATTTAAGCGGAACTTTCAGGACTTTTAGATTCGGATGTCGTCTGTGGGTGGTGAAAATTTCAAGTTGCTAGTTGGAATGGGTTGCAAGTTGCTCATTGTTAAAAGAGTGCGCGTAAATGCATAAAAACGTTCATTTTCAGTCCTGCATTGACTTAATGGTTAAATATCAAGTTGTACAACGACTCGACTGAAATTTTCAGCACTTTTAGACGCAACTTTCTTCTATGGATGGTGACAATTTGCTACTTGACCTGGTTTCAAAGTGGTAAATTTTTTAAAGAGCGCCGCAAATGGACAAAGACCCTCATTTTCAGTCCTGCATTGACTTAATTGGTAAATTTCAGATTGTCTACCAACTCGACTGAAATTTTCAGCACGTTTAGACGCACACTTCGTCTATAGATGGTGAAACTTTCAAGTTCGTACTTGACCTGGTTTCAAAGTGGTAAATTTTTAAAAGTCATCATTTTCAGTCCTGCATTGACTTAATTGGTAAATCTCAAGTTGTCTAACAACTGTACTGAAATTTTCAGCACCTTTCGACGCACATTTCGTATATCGATGGTAAAAATTTCAAGTTGCTACTTGACCTGACCTCAAAGTGGTAAATATTTAAAAGAGCGCCGCAAATGGACAAAGACCTTCGTTTTCAGTCCTGAATTGACTTAATTGGTAAATCTCAGGTTGACTAACAACTCGACTGAAATTTTCAGCACGTTTAGACGCACACTTCGTCTATAGATGGTGAAACTTTCAAGTTCGTACTCCACCTGGTTTCAAAGTGGTAAATTTTTAAAACAACGCCGCAAATGGACAAAGGCCCTCATTTTCAGTCCTGCATTGACTTACTTGGTAAAGCTCAGGTTGTCTAACAACTCGAGTGAAATTTTCAGCACGTTTAGACGCATATTTCTTCTATAGATGGTGAAACTTTCAAGTTTCTACTTGACCTGGTTTCAAAGTGGTAAATTTCCAAACGAACGCCGCAAATGGACCAACACCCTCATTTTCAGTCCTGCATTGACTTAATTGGTAAATCTCAAGTTGTACAACAACTCGACTGAAATTTTCAGCACTTTTCGACGCACATTTCGTATAACGATGGTAAAAATTTCAAGTTGCTACTTGACCTGGCTTCAAAGTGGTAAATTTTTAAAAGAGCGCCGCGAATGGACAAAGACCTTCATTTTCAGTCCTGCATTGACTTAATTGGTAAATCTCAGGTTGTTCATCAACTCGACTGAAATTTTCAGACCGTTTAGACGCACATTTCGTATATCGATGGTAAAAATTTCAAGTTGCTACTTGATCTGGCTTCAAAGTGGTAAATTTTTAAAAGAGCGCTCCAAATTGCAAAAACCCTCATTTTCAGTCCTGCATTTACTTAATTGGTAAATCTCAGGTTGTTCAACAACTCGACTGAAATTTTCAGCACGTTTAGACGCACATTTCGTCTATAGATGGTAAAACCTTCAAGTTGATACTTGATCTGGCTTCAAAGTCGTAAATTTTTAAAAGGGCGCTACAAATGGACAAAGACCTTCACTTTCAGTCCTGCATTGACTTAATTGGTAAATCTCAGGTTGTTCAACACCTCGACTGAAATTTTCAGCACGTTTAGACGCACACTTCGTCTATAGATGGTGAAACTTCCAAGTTGCTACTTGACCTGGTTTCAAAGTGGTAAATTTTTAAAAGAGCGCCGCAAATGGACAAAGACCCTCATTTTCAGTCCTGCATTGACTTCATCGGTAAATTTCAGGTTGTTCAACAACTCGACTGAAATTTTCATCACTTTTAGATGCAAATTTCTCCTGGGGATGGTGAAATTTTGAAATTGCTTGCTGATTTCCGTTGGAAGTTGTGAATTTTGAATTGAGGACGACTCACTATGATTAAATATTAATTTGTTGCTCAGCATTGACTTGGTTGGCAAAAATCAGAATTAACTGCGATTTTAGTGAAATTTTCAGCACTTTCAGGTTTGGGTGTCTGTTATAGATGGGAAAATTTGCGAATTGCTACTTTGTCTGGGTTGAAAGTTGTGATTTTTTCATCACGGTGGTGTAATTGCGCGAAAACATTCATTTTTCGATCAGCATTGACATGGTTGTTAAAAATCAGGTTTTAAGGCGATTTAACTAGTTTTTTTTTAGAAGTTTCAGCCGCAATACGTTCTACAGGTGCCGATGACAATTCCAAGTTGCCTCCTATTAAGACGGGAACTTATGAATTTTTAAAGTAGGCCGCTAATTGTTGAAAACCATCCATTTTTAGTCCATCATTGACTTGGCTCGAAATAGTCATTCTTAAGTGCGATTTGACGGAAATTTGGAGAAGTTCTAGACACAAGTGTCCTCTGTGGATGAGAAAATTTGCAAGTCGCTGCTTAGTTTCAGTTGAAAATCGTGATTTTCTTTAAGGGGGTGTGTAATTGTGATGTAACAGTCATCGTGTGCCATTGACTGACTGAACCGGCAAAAATACATTTTTTCTGTGATTTCTCTGAAACATTCTGCACTTTCAGACCCAAATGTCTTCAGTAGATGTGGAATATTTCAAGGGCCTACTTAAATTCAATAAAAGTTGTGATTTTTAAAGGGGGGTGAGTAATTGTGGCATTTTTAGGTCTAATTTTACTTGACGGGTAAAAATCGCGGTTTTTTGTGAGATTTAACTTAAATTTTCAGCTCTATTAGACCGAAACGTTTTCTATAGGTGGCGCAATTTTCAAGTTGTTCCTTGATTTCAGTTGGAAACTATCAATTTTTAAAGAGGAACTGGTAACTGCAAAAACCGCTCATTTTCGATTGATTCAAGGAAATCGTTGGACGACTTTCAGGTTCAAATGTGCCCAAAAAACGTCTCTAAATCAAATTGCGAGCGATTCTAATTGGCCTTTTGGCTCGGAGTGTCGCTGATAATCCCGTCATAAAATCATCCCCATCAATCCGGATAGCGGAATTTAAGTGACAACGAAAATTGGCTTAATTTAACCTGAAGCCACTTCGCCTTTGATGTGAATTTCTGGCTTCATTACGGGGCCGACTTTTTGCGAAATTTTATGTTTCCGATGTGCAAAGAGTCACTTCCTGTGTCATTTATTGCCCACATACGAGATGTGGGCGGTGAAAACTGATGTCGAGTCGAATGGAACTGAAGACAAGGAGCAGAAAGACTGAACGGTTTATTAACCGTTTTAAGTAAAATTGTTGCTGGCAGAATTAAAGGGCAAAAACACCGCCAAGTTCTGCGAGTTTCAGGCAAAGGAAACCTGCTTTTCCTCGCTAATCTCTAGTCATATCTGAATGAGGGCGAGATGGCTCAATTTTCAATTAACCAGGCCCGAGATATTTTCGTTGTTCCACCTTCAGCTAATTAAGGCGATTTTTTTCCATTTTGAACGCGACCCGGTCGGGGCAAAACAACACAAAGTAACGGGGGCCTTTCGGATTAGAAGCGATTATTTTCCATTTTCCTCCATACCTTGTTAACGTTGTCTTAATTGGTTAATCTGCGGCGTCTTTCAGAGGAAATTGAAAAAAATCGCCAGTTTTTCGTGTCGCTTGAGCCCAAAAGACGCCCATTTTCCTTCCATAATTATTCATAATGAATGTAAATATGATAATAAAAATCTGGCTGTAAATATGCGACCTCTCAATTAACGTTTTTCACCTCCCATAAGCGACAGTTAACAATGTAATAACGACAATTTATTAATGAATAGAAACGTTTATTCATTGCGGTGCTTATTAGGTTGTAGATCTGCTACTGATTGCAACCCAATGGAATTTCCAATGTTAATTAACAGCTTCCGAAGTGTTGCCAATATATTAATATACGCTCGCAATTGGCTAACGGCAAATTGAGTAATTGCCGTTGCCTTTTTATGACTATTTAACAAGTAACTGATAGAACTGGTGAGGTTTTTTTGGGCTTTATGGCACCGTACAAAAAACGTTTCCCGACGTTTCACAGGCGCGAGTTACTTGCATCTTCAGCGGTATATTCGCCCAAGAACCGAGCACAGAACAGTGCGATCAGACCAGAGTTTTGAGACAAGACGATTTAAAGCTGGTCGGGCGAAAGAAGTGCAAGTGATGTGGTGTATGAAAACATGTGGGTAATTTTTAGGCAGCATTAACTTGACCGGCAAATATCCGGATTTGGTGCGATTTGAACGAAACTTGCTGGACCTTCGGATTCAAATGTCTTCTATGGATGGTCAAAATTCCAACTGGTTGCCCAATCTGCGCTGAAAGTTGTCAATTTTTAAACTAGGGAGTGCAAATGTACGATCACACTGATTATCAGGTAAACACTGTCTTGGCTGGCACAAATTAAAATTTCGCGCGATTTGACTGAAACTTCCCGGACATTCAGACTGAAACCTCGTTTCTGGATGGCCAGCATTTCCAGTCCCTCCTTAACACCGGTTGGATGTTGTCAATTTTTAAAAGTTGGCCTGTAATTGTGTAAAAAATAACATGTTTAGGCCAGCATAGACTTGGTTGGCAAACATCAGGATTTTTCGCAATTTTACTGCCAATTGCACAACTGAGGGATTCAAGTGTTTTCTAGAGATTGTGAAAATTTGCGGTTGTTGCCGAACTCCGGTTGGAAATTAGGAATTTTTAAAGGAGGACCTGTGGAGGAATTGTAAAAACCCATTCATTTTTAGACTATCATTGATTTGTTTGGCAAAAGCCGGATTTGGTGCGATTTTACTGGAATTTTCAGTGCTGTAAGACTCAAATCTCGTCGATAGCGTGTGAAAATTTCAACTTGTTCTTGAATTTCCGTGGAAAGTTATGATTTTTTTACGCAGGGCGTGTATTTGCCAAAAACCATTAATTTTTAGGCCTGCGTTAACTTGGTTGAAAAAAAATCAGAATTAACCGCGATTTAGCTTAAAGTTTCAGAACCTTCAGATCCAAGTGTGTTCTATCAACGGAACGACTTTGAAGTTTCTACTTGATTTCAAAAAAAAGTTGCGATTTCTTAAACGAGAGCCTGTAATTGTGCAAAACCTTGATTTTTAACTCAACAATGCCTTCATCGGTAAAAATCAGGTTTTGCCACAACTGAGCTGATATTTTCAGGACTTTTGCATTCAACTATCTCCCATAGATGGTGAAAATTTCAAGGTGTTCCCTGTTCTCGATTGAAAGTTATCAAAGTTCAAAGAGATCGAGTAGACTTTTTCCGACAATTTTACCACTGGCCGCTGTATAGAAAACACCCTGTATATTTGGTTGATTTTCTGAAATAGCGCTTCTCGTTCCCAACAAGATTTTCATATTCCAGCCTCGGTTTAAATTTGATTATCAATGTTCTACTATAGGGGCTCAACATCACATCACGCCCATTCGGCTTAAATCGTCCGCTCCTGTTTTTTTCCCACACCAGTATACATTCAACTGCAGAACTGAGCCAGATTTTCAATACTCATTTTTTCGTAATCAATTAGAAGCTCTGGAGTATCAATTTTTGCTTCAAATGTCCACATTTTGTCGCCCAAAGTGTTTCGATTGTAGTAGTTCGTCTTCCGCAGGATTCAAAAAAATAATATACAGAGTGTCCCACTAAAAATAAGCAGGTTGCTGCCTACTTCCGGTACAACCGGAAGTGTGGCCAACTGGAAAATATCTACAATCTCTTGCCCCCACTGACTGTGGCATAGTGGCAGGTTTTCAGACTATTCCCAGCTGCAGTTTGCCTGCTGGGGATCAAAGAATCTCCAGGTGGAACCCTTTTGTCAGCCACAATATATCAAATTGTTCCAGGTGATTGAGGGCAACATCAACCCCTACCTGGGGGCCAAGCGCCAACTGGATCCGCCCCTATGGGCCAGCAAGATCCGCCTCTACCCCTACAGCCACCACAAGCGGACCGTCTGCATGCGAGTGGAGCTGTACGGCTGTCGCTGGACAGACGGCATTGTCAGCTACTCGATGCCGCAGGGCGACAAGCGAGGCCCCAACTGGGAGTTCTTCGATCTGGGGTAAGCTCAGCTTCAGCTACAGCGCAATCTTCTTCAGGCCTGATTGGGCTGTTGCTGCAGATATGACGGCGTGTGGGAAGGTCCCGAGCTGAGGCACGGCCTCGGTCAGCTGATCGATGGAAAGTTCGGCCACGACGATTTTAAGACCGATCAGTACGAGGGCCAGACTTGGGTGGGATGGAAGAACGAGTCTAGACACAGACCGGTGGAGATCAGATTCGAGTTTGATCGCGTTCGAGAATTTTCCGGTGTGCACATCTACTGCAACAACCAATTCACCAAAGAAGTGCAGGTGTTTGCCCAGGCCAAAGTGCTGTTTAGTGTGGGAGGAAAGCGCTTCAACAAGGGCGAGCCGATCAGCTTCGAGTACATGGAGGACCGGATCTTCGAAAGCGCTCGCAATATCTCCATCAAGCTGCACCATCGCGTGGGGAAGTACGTGAAGCTGCAGCTGTTTTTCGCCTCCAAATGGATCCTGATCAGTGAGGTGTCTTTTGAGGCGGTGGTGGCGCACGGGAACTTTACACCTGAGCCTGAAGTGGCCACCACCACTCATGTGCGAGTCGCTTCGGATCATGGACATAAAATCGAAATTCCCGCGCCGAGCAGCATCAACGATCCAGTCATCGTGCTCATTGTGATTGGGATCATTGCGGTGCTGTTGCTACTGGGGCTCATCATGTTTCTGATTTATCGGTAAGAGTTGCGTGGTTCCCAAACAAGTCCAAGCGGCTACATTAGGAAGGCTGTGTAGGTTCAAGAGGCGCAAGTTCCTCAGAAGCCCCAACTCCTCCAACTTGGGGTTCCCCAATGGGACGCTGCCGCCCCACTTGCAGAACAACGACAGCATCTTCCGGATGCAAAAGAGCAAAAACGGGGCGCAGGAAAAGGAGCACATTGAAGCCTACGGGGTGACGGACATCAACAATTGCGACGACTATTGGAGGAAGAGTCATGGAGGCGGCTCTGTTAAGTCCAGCTTACGGTACCCACAGTGGCAACGTTTCCCTGGGGGTTTGCCTAACCAAGTGCCCTTTCAGGTCCACCTTGCCCCTTCCACATCCGGAGGAAAACACCTACCAGGAGCCCTATCAAGCGATGCAGTTCGCTCAGTATTACAGCTCCAGCCCCATCATAATGGAGATGACGAACTACAGCAGCACCAGCTTGGACAAGCCCCACTCTAACTGTGGTAATTCAACTGTGCACCATCTGGTTCTGGATAGTAAACCGCCGAATTTCAGATAATTACGACTACGATATTCCGGAGGGAAATTCGGTGCCAGTGGCGTTTCCGTCGCTGGACAAGGCTGGGATTCACACCAACTCCTCCAAGAGTGGGCAAAGGGTGTCCTTGCGGAGCACCACATGTGGGGACATGGAAGCAGAGATGGTGAGTTACTCATTTATTTAGATGTTGTTGGCGGCTTTTTCGAGTTCTAGAGAGGGCGAGTGTTTAACAAAGTTTAAAATGCCTAACAATGTCATTCAGATAGGTTCCCTTGCTTGACTCCAACTATGCGCACTCTCCTCTTAAGGATGTCTGTTGAAAAACTCGTGTTTTCATCAGCAGTTAAAAGAGAACCTTGGGAAAAGCTTGAGTGGAAAGGGAAACTTCCATTTTGTCCGTCCCGAAAGTTTCGGTTTGCCACCGCCATCATCAGGCAATATCAAAGGAAATCTGCGCAACTGATTACTATTAAAAAAAAAAATCGAATCTTCAGCAGAAATTGCGAACGAATTTTGGGAAATGCTTCCTAGCGAATGAAAACGTCCGTTTTATCAATGTTGAAAGTTTCAGCTCGCCCCCGGCATCACCAGGGATTTGCAAAGGAATTTTCGCAACAGCTTAATGCTGGCAGAGTAATAGGTGCCACTGGGTTTAAAAATTCGTATTTTCAGCACAAGTTGAGAGGCAAATTTGGTGAATCTTAAATTAGGTGCAACAAAGTTCGTTTTATAAATTCTCAAAGTTTCAGTTGCTCAAAGTCATCATCAGGGATTTAAGAGGAGTTTCTCGCAACTGATTAGTTCCGCCAACGAACAAGTGCCGTTCTGTTTAAACATTCGTACCTTCAGTCCAAGTTCAGCGACCACTTTGGGGAAAACTTTATGGGCAAGGGCAGGGCCCATTTTATACACCGTGAAAGTTTCGGTTCGCTGCCGTCATCACCAGGAATTTCATCGGAAATTTTCAAAGCTGGTTG